ATGTCCATATGTTCGCTCAAACGAATTCAGACAGTTACCAAACTGTATGGCTTTCCAAAATGGCACGAACCTGTGATCCATACATTGGGAGGCGGAAGCCTCACGGCACAGGACGATAAAAAACTTCCGTGAAAGTACTCGCACCAACCAGGAACAAATGGGTGAGAGGATATCCTTACTAATACGTGTGTTGCTGAACACGGGTAGCAGCCATACTTAGGCCTGCTTGAGGACTCACTTCAACCCAGAAAATCAATAACATCAATATTCTTGACAAAACACACGAGTTAGAGGGTTTCTGGAAACGTTTCGCAAACCATGATCGGTTTGGACTTTCTTGGGGCTAGGCGCAGTCCTCGAGTTTTGGTCAACAGTATTCTCTAACTGAACCCAAATCGCATGTGATTTGCAAAGTTCAATCACTGTCAATCCAGTTTGTTCCTAACGGGAGACTCATCTTAATCTCAGCTAAAATTTGAGTAACTTTCATGTAGGAAGCGACTCACAAGGTTGCTGAAAAATCTTCAATAGCCCACGACCGGTTCCACCCTCTTGGGGTGCATGAGGTAGGCGCAGTCCCTGAGCTTCCGTCAACCCTGCTTGAACCCAAAGTGGATTGATAACAAATCAATTTGGTTTCCACGAGAAACCCAACTAAATCTCTCTTTTCTTTAAAGCAGCAGTAGTTGGCAGCTGTTGTAAACACTGAGTCATTGGTTAGTTTGATACATGCAAAGATAACCTGTTGACGAAATGGACCCCTACGTGAAAACATCAGCGGTGCACATCTTACGAAACTCCAGGCAGCTTCAGTCGCTCGACCTCCACAGTCCTGCTGAACAGCAGTGGGATCAACTCGCGGGGGTGAGGCGTACCCCACACTCCAATCACGACATCCACATCGCGTTTTCATGTATTCACTTAGTCTTCGAGTGATAACCACTCAGATGGAAATTTCACTGATTGTGGGAATTAGTCTTCTTACGCGCTACTCGCTGATTGGTGGCAGCGTGAAGAGATTCGGGAAATTTCCGTGCAGGTTTGGTCCTGTAAGTGAAGACAATCCGTGATGAAAAACCGAAAAGTAATATGCAGTTGTTTTCCCTTTCATCGGAGTCATTAGCAATGTGAACGTCAGGAAAAGTTTTGGAGCTTTATGCCTCCAGCTGAAGTGCCTCAGCCGTTGATTTGGAGTCACAAGGTGTTCCCAGTCTTGACTGTTCACACGTGTATCAAAAACAGGTCTTTAGTTCCTACCTGGTTATTCTAGGCTTTCAAAGCATATTGGTTATTCAGTTTGAAGGATGTCAAAACGTTTTTTCTTTGGGGCCTTTTCCTACTTCAGAAGCTGATGGGAAAAAGTTTAATGGTATTCGATTTCTAAAATAAACAAAATGGACAATGCGGACGAGACCACCCACCACGTGTCAGACGTCTTGTGGAACATCTCTTGCGTCACACGCTCCTGGTGCACACCAGGTGACCTTGTAACAATTCCGTCGGATAAACTGAGCGAAAGCGATTACAAGAAAGTGATGACTCTATTCCAAACCAAAGAGTTAAACAAGGACAAAATTTGGGAGCGTACAAGTGCTGATCAGTGCTCTCAAAGTTTAATTGGCTGGTCATACGTTGGTCGACGAATAGGTGGAGCCAAACAGAACAAGACGACTACCGTATGATACATTTATAGGCTCCGCTGACAAGAGAACATTCAGTTGCGTAAGACCGTCGTTGCGCCTGTTGAAAGTGACCACCAAAATGACACGTGGTGGGTTGATAAGCCTCCAGGGGCGACACGTACTAATTAAAGCTATTTTACAATGCTCCGTTTCAAGTTTTGCTGAGCTCAACCACTATATATACCCCAAGGCTAAGTTATGGATGACACATAAAAATTTGAATTCAGTGATAGGCTGATTAAGGGCGATCGTAACGCTTGTCTCCAGGGTCACTATTTTATTATTATTCACGCTATTACGATCGGTCGAAACTTTGTCCACTCCTTTATCGGTTTAGCTCTCATCTCGGGTAGTCCGTCCTTCCATCCTAACCGTATTTTCTACTCGATCATATGATTAGTATTGAAAAAAAGCAGAGACATAATGAACATCGCTTCAAATGAAACACGATGCGGACTATTCACACTGTTGAAAAACAGCAGATACAATATCTTCATTCTCTTGTCAGCATTTGGTGTCCATTTCAATTCCGTTAGTTCCGTCAGTATCAAACAAATTCATTGTTGATCGATGCTCACATTAGCGGAGTTATTCTCTTCTCACTTTTGTGACGTTCGTTATGCATTATCTAGTTTATTATCTATTCCCTTGGTGATCGTAACTCCCCAGTTCATTGAACTGAAACCAAACAACGTATAAAATTGAATTTGCAACAATATATTGTGTAAATTTGTAAATTTCTCACGTATATTGCGGAGCTTTTGAATCACTGCATAGAAGTTCCAGTAGGATTGAATTAGCTTTGGTTTGAGAAGAAAAATGGGAGAGAAGTAATTTACTTGTATCACACTGTCTACCTGAGGTAAAGACAGCCCGCCAGAACGAATACGTTTAGTTCCAGCTTTTTTCATCTCAAGACATTTCTCGTGCGCAAGATTCTTTTCACTCTGGCGTTATTCTATTAGTAACCATGCCCATAGCTATTCGTTAGCATCCTTCGACTCGTTCGAACTCCGTCGCGTTAGTGAATTCCCCAAACGAATCCTTTCGGATATCCGTTTTTGGCAGAGTTATCTGGGTCGATAACAGATCCATCGTTTCAGAAAACATCCTAAATTGACTTCAGCTATTGAGAACTGCTGGCGTGCACCGTCATTGCACTTAATTGCGTATCGTGCACCGCGAACATCTCTGTAGCCTCCGATTGCCGTTTTTTTTTCACTCAGGCACTTACAATCTTCCAATCATCACTATGGAAAAGTGCACAACGTTGAATCGGTAAAGACCGTTGTTCTTCGAAACATGCAGCCGACGTCAAACTTGACTCGCTACGCTCAGGCCGATGACGTGAGCAAAATTGTACCCAAAAACTGTTTCAACGGGCATGAAAAATACGTGCTTTAAGTATCGGCGAGCAGATCTATCTGTCGCCAGCCTTACAAAGGAGAAAACTTTGTGGAGAGGGATTAGTAGTTTTACCACCAGATGAGCCTTATTTCAACTCCATCTTCGAGTTTTTCTCTTAAACTGCTATCTGCTGTTACAGTCTTCATCAGACTTTCTTGTATGTGACTGGGTCCTTAAGTTCAGCTGATTACAAGAAGGCCTGCTCCAGTCGGAGGCTACTCAAATCCACAACTGTGTTAGGTTCCAGCCACGACCTGACGATCTCCAGGGATGGTACTACCAGCAGCGCCGTCTAAACGTTCAAGTTGACGGAAACTCGGGGACCAAGCCTACGTCATGAGCTCCAGGGAGGGCAAAACCGGTCGTGCGCTGTCGAAGGGTTTTCAGCAACCTTGTGAGTGGTTTTCTTTTTCTCCGTCAGTAACCACTAGTTGTAATGAGAACTTCATTCTGAAAGGTGAAGCCGAGGAGCAACTCCAGCCACCACATTACGATGAAATGTAAATCTCCTGTTAGAAAAATAAATTTTGATACACGCTGATCAAAACCGGACTAATCACACTACTGATCAGCCACTAGCAGACAGTTTATTCTTCAACTACGTTGCGTGTTTTTATCGCCCTGAAGCTGAAACGGTCCTACACAGGTTTTCGCCTTTTTTGGACCGCATTTACTGAACGGTACCTCTATTGAATACATACTAATCTCACCATACCATCGAACAGCAGCACTAATAACAGACCGGTTGTAACATCTCAGCAGCCATTGGGAAAAATCACTTTTAGTTGGACTTTGGAGTTGTGGTGACTAGGGGAACCTACGGGTAGTGTGTGTGCTTATTGGCTGTCGGTCAGGTGACTGTTAGTCTGTTCGCCGGACTCAATTATCAACTTTCCAACGCTTCGTCACCAAACGAAGAGGCATTATCAGGTTTTTTCACCCACTCCGTTTGGTGACGAAACGTGTTTCAAGTTAATTGCCAATCTGTGCGAGTAGCAGATCAGCAACCAACAACGGGAAGCTATCTCGAGTTAGCTCCAAGATATGTTACAAACAAAATCTGAAATCAGACTAAGCTTCAAACAGGGGTTACGTACGAGGAAGCGAAAAGCAACCGAGCACACACAAACAACGAAATTCATCCTGTCTGAATCATTCGATCGAAATCTGCTGTTTTCTTGTAGTAATTCGCGAGATCCTGGAGAGGCGATTCGTCCAAAAGTGCGCCATGACAGTGCAGGGGACCACAGATAATCTGAGTGGACAGGTATGAAGCGAAACATTTGTAGGCAAGAAAATCCACGCTAGCTTCCCCGGATGTTTTTCAGTGTAGGATCAAACCGTCCAGACTACTTACGTTTTTGGCTGCTGAGAAGACCAAGCAAAATTCTCACGTCATAACTTTCCAAGTCTTGGTAGAGATTTCAAACATATTACCAGAAGTTATGATTGCGGACTAGTGTGCAGAACAAACGTGAAGAAGGGAGATGAAATCCTATAAACCCGTAGGGGAAGATGGCCCTCAGGGAAATGTGACCAACTGTGAGAAGGTTTGGATAAAATTCAAGTTCCAAACTTTTCACAGTGGACTAGGAGATTGAGGACGCGACAATACATGCCTCTGGTTGCAGCGTCACCCCAACTATAACCTCACATGGCAATAAAAAATCTGCTCAAAATAAAAAATCGTATCTTTACCACCCGATAATTGTCTGAAAGGCTGGTTCTGCGGTTTACAAATTCCGTTCATCTGAGCTTTAATTCTGTACTTTTAATTATCGAAAAACGCCTGGACAAATCACAAACGAGAGATTCGGCTGGGTTCCAGGCGAGTCTCTCGAAAAACCAAAATAGTTTGCAAATGAATGTATATTCGCTAATTTCGTGCAATTGGGTTTGTGCAATTTGGTTTCAAGTAAAACGTAAGGTTAATGGAAACCGAGGACTGCGTCTACCTGAGAAGCTCCAAGAGGGGCGAAACCGGTCGTGAGCTGTCGACGGATTTTCAGCAACCTTATGAGTAGTGTATTATAAATATAAACGCGCAACACTGTTATGGTTGTTGAACACTGGTCAACCATCTGCTTCGCCATTTTCTCCATCCGCTGGCCTGTCTCATCACCTTCATCTCAGTGGGTTTCTAAATACAGCAGTTAGGGTTTGCGAGACGAATATATTCAATCTAGGAACATTGGCCTTGCAATTCTATCCTGAGAGATTAGTTACTCTTAAGAATACAGATCTAATCGTTTTGGACTAAGTACGATCTAACTCGTAGCTAGTTTAATTATCTTTGCTCTTCCATTATCAGCTCATGGGATTTGTACACGCTGTTCAAAACATGTCGGCCTGGACGGTTATGAAGTCACTTCATGGGCCCAGGATTTCACAGAGCACAGTACTGGATTGCTTGCCAAGTTTAGACATGTATTGTACTCAAGCCTAAATGTCACACAACTCTCACGCAATCCAAACCAAAGTAAAGAAGCCATTCAACCACATAACCGAATGCCCAGTATTGATTTGATTTGTGAACAGGGTCAAACAAAACTGTAAGAAATCTGTATTTCTAAAGGCAGCTGGGTTCTCAGACCTCCAAGAGTTTATGTTGCGAGTGGTAGGCCAGCCCTACAGATCGATGTTCAGGCTGGGAGAATTTACAAGTTCCTTCCGTAAACACTGAAATTCTCAGCGCATTTCCCTGTCCTATGCAAGAAACGAAAATTATTTGGTCATCTTTTTTCAAGAGAATATCCCCGCGTTTCAAGAGTTCGGGTTTGTCAGGGATGTGTTTCAGTTCAGGAAGTCTAGTTTCAAATTCATAAGTGGAGTTTTAGTCCTAAATCGCAGTGAATCACGTCAAATTATTTGTTTACTCTGACGGAATGAACGTTTTTCTGCCCCTGAGTAGTGAGGACGCTCAACAATGCGGATAAAGCCACTGCTCTATTAGCATCACAGTGTGAATATATTTCAAGCACATTCACTAGAATATTTGAACTGGAGAACGTTGTGTCGGCAGAAGGAGCCCATTCCTTTCTCATCCGTATAATCCTATTTGATGAAAGGAATTTCAAAGCTCCCATTTTAGAATAAAACTAATATTTTCAGCAATAGAAATTCAACGATCTGGCTAAAAAAAATGCATCATATTTGATACATAAACACCGATAGTGAGCGGTTCGTTCGAGATAGCTCCTTATGGGTGATTTCGGGTCACTCAAAACAGTTTCAAGTGCTTTTCAGGGGTTTGCCAGAACAATCTATAAAGTATTAGTCATTCGGATTTTGAATCTGCAACCCACTTGGGTCATGGGTCATTACGTCTTTGTGCACATGATCAGGAAATGTATCCCCTGAGCTCAGGTCACTGTAACAAGCTGGCCAAATCACACAACATCAACGGAAGAGAGCCACTTCCCATCAGGTCGGACTCTACCAGTCGCTGCCACTTGCTATCGATTAGTGTCAGTGGCATCGGTAAAGCGCTGGATTATTAAACAGTCGGTTCATTGAAAAAGCTGAACCGAAACGCATAAAAATACATAAGACTTACCGGAAAAGATTTCGGAAGGATCCCAACAACTAAGACGCATCTCTGTTGACATAAACTGCCGAAGTCGGTTCTTTTTATCAGTTCCAAACGTAATCCATAATCTTTTCAGGTGTTTTAGGCGCGGGCAAACCTAATCCACAGATTCCCAGTACTTCGGGCAATCTCATTCACCATTCCATCGACTCTAGAGTGAAATGTAGTCATGTGGGCAGACAAATCACGTGGTCACGTATTGGCTCACTCGCTTCATCTATATGATCAAATATCTATTGGAACCATCCAATCTTCTCACATCACCGTCAAGCATTTAGCAAATCAAAGGAAAACTGATACTCCAGGAATGAGTGACCATTCCGTCTGAGTACCACTCACTCACGGAACCAATCAAAACGAGACCACGTGATGTGGTTTTTGCAGTTGAAAGATCAGTGGCACGATGTCCTGTCGAAGTAAGAGCTGACCATCCACCCATAGTCAAACCGCCGGCCGGAAGGTTGCGGGATCAAAACTTTGAGTTTCGTGATACTCACACTCGATGATTCCCAAAAAAGGTAGGAAAAAGCAGATATTCCTTCTCGGTGTTTCATTGCAGGTTGGCTTCATTGACGGGATAAACGCTCTGTTGCAAATAGCTAAATCTCCTCATAACCACGTCAAAGTGTAAAGTCCCAAAACAAGCAGTTCAAAAGTATAGCTGGAACTCGACGGATAGAGTTATGTAGTGCATATAAAACTCACCACACTTTCGGTGAACGGGGACTCGATAACATTTGCTTTGAAATGGCCCGTTTCACTGCATTCATCCATTTTTTAATGAAGATTTGCCTGATAGGACCAAACCTCGATCGATGGCTGCCGTTAACGTCATTTTTTCCGCAGGTGAGTGGATATCAGTTTGAAAGATCTCAAATTATTTCAAAGAATTAGTGGACTTTGTGATTATTTAGCAAATTCCCACTAACCAGAGCTGTGATATGAAAGACTGTCAGACAGCTACGATGGCACTTCACTAACGCCATGACAAAAATGACAACGTGGCACACGTTTGTTTGTCGAATCGAACCTCGACACTGGACATCAAAATACAGGAGAGTCTAAAGGAATTCATTAAATTTATGTGATTATTTAGCAAATTCCCACTAACCAGAGCTGTGATATGAAAGACTGTCAGACAGCTACGATGGCACTTCACTAACGCCATGACAAAAATGACAACGTGGCACACGTTTGTTTGTCGAATCGAACCTCGACACTGGACATCAAAATACAGGAGAGTCTAAAGGAATTCATTAAATTAAAAGAGCTTCAGTTTATGCTTTTTTTTTACAGACGTAAGGTTACTATGTTCGACAGCGGCTTCTAACTAAAACATCTGTTGATTCAGTCGCTTGGTTTGTTTCAAACTGCACACACCTTGCATTCCGATTCGAGACTTTTCTGGACATTATGTCGTGCCAACGCAACCTAGAACCTGGGTAGTCTATATTTGTCTTTAAACCACGTGTACTCAAGGTGCACAAGACATTGTTTACAACAACGTTGAACAGCGCTGCACAGCTGGTGTATTCCGAAAGTCTCGTATGGAGTTGAGAATGACAAAAAAAGCCAAACGTCGATAACAGTTGTTTCGGTTAAACTTCATCAATGGGATGACAACAGTATTGAAACTCACTGTCATGCAGTTGTGCATCGCAGTGTCCCACCCCCCTCTGTGCAAGTCTGGGCATTATCACAGATTTGGTGTACTTATCAAATGTATGGAAATCAGAGCACAGCGCAACATATATTTAAGGTGAACTAACGAGAGCTGTTCTAACCGGACCCCTCGTAAGCTAGTCGGCTACACATGCACGAGAGGAAAGGACACCAGTGTATCCATTCAATATCGATGTCCCTTCAGTAGGTGACAAAACGTTTGCAAACCAAGCATGGCGAGCAGGTTAGTGTTTACAGTGGAACACGGAGAAGGTACACCTGTCGGAAAAATCAAAGTTTTCTTCTATGCAGCTATCTCTGCTTCAGGAAATTCATCCAGGAACTAATGTGAAGACAAAACGTAATAGTGCTGAAGTTTGGTCTTGAAAAGCTATCGGACAGTTGACATTCACCATACTTTGTCTGTTTTTTGGAGGGTTTCACAGCACTATTCCTTCCAAAACTCGATACTTTCTGCATGTTTCAAAAGCGATTGTTAGAGAACTTTATGGAACCTTTACCACAAAAGCTTCTTTGATGTTTTGCCTCTTCTATCATTGAAAGATTCAGCTAGATGGCTTACACTCGTGTTCTACATGCTGTTAGTCATCAAAAAGGGAAAAGAACCCCGAAGCATTCTAATTTCTCATATTACTTTGCACACTTTGGTGGAGAGAGAATGAAGGTCATTTGCCCTACTAATAAAATCGTCATTTCTCTTGAACTGGCTTTTCGCACTGTGGACCTAAGATGACATCGTGTCAAGTGGGTGAAGCGTCTATCTATGCTCGGAAACGGCCTCCGCACTGTGGACCTAAGATGACATCGTGTCGAGTGGGGAGAAGTCTATCTCCGCTCGGAAACGGCCCAAAAACCAGACCTCTGGCCTATAAACACCTCCATACATACGCGAGCACAGATAGCGCAATTTGGTTTGGCTCGTGGCATCAAGCCCAAATGTAACCACCAAAAATACAAGCTTAGGACAAGTCTGAGGTTCGTCAAAACCTGTTGTTTCAAAACACGAGCCTATGCGCCTGCCTTTCACAGAGTCGAAACCCGCCACTTGGTGCTGTAGTGTCTCTTCGCGAGAAATTCACTGACCTTATTAGGATTTAGTGCAATTTGGTTTCAAGTAGCACATAAGGACGGAAACCTGGGAAACGCGCCTACCTGATGAGCCCCAAGAAGGGCGAAACCGGTCGTGGGCCCTTGATGAGTTTTCAGCAACCTTATGAGTAGTGCATTGCTCCAATTCGTGGGGGCATCAACCAGCAAGCCGAGGATCAAAGATGTCCCTAAGTAATCGATGTATTCTCAAACATGTCCCTTGTTGAGGGGTTTTGATGTAGCGATGTGCTCTACCAATAACGTTCTCTTTGCTGTGGGAAGGTGGCCAGTGGGAATTGCGACCTTTAAAAATTAATTTGCTTAGGTTCGTCATCCATCGTAATTGACTCTATTCTCTCTGGTTTTTGAACAGAGTTCAGTACCGTGTAAAAATACAACTGGAAATGCCCATTGGGTGCAACATCGACGTGCACTGATGCTAAGTCAGCGTAGTGGCAAGTCTTGTTTACAGTGCCCGTTTTCATCCGTACATACGTACCCAACTCGAAATTTGTTAGGTGTTATTGTACACGATGACTAATCCATATAAAGCCACGTTTGACAACTTCTCTGTGAAATAGTCAGTGCGGACGCTGAGTTGCACATCAGCTGACGATTTCACCGGTTGATCTGGTTTGGAGCACGTCAATGAAGATCGTTTCCAAGATCTACCATTGTTTACCTATCGGCTCGTGTTGTGACCAAATAATCGATTGCACCGAGTCACCGCTTGAAACCACTCGTTAAACCAATGACGCAATTCGTTTCCTCGTGGATTTTTTCGTGTGTAGTGGAAAATGCACTTTCCCGATTTACGTCACTTGTTTACGTTATTCTCTTTCATTTATTCGCATTCTTTTTACAGTATTATCATCGGTTGATAAGGTATCATACGATTTATTCTGTTTTATCTGATAATCTTGAAATCAAAGGTTTCACGTCCCATTGTGCTTTTTGCAAATACGAGTCACATGACTTCGGGACTGCACTGCGTTGACGGACCACTATCCAAAAGGAACGTAGCTCTGCCAATGATATCAAAACAGACAGTGAAAATGATTTAGATAAATCCTAGGCGGTCGGTTTATCAGTTGGCGTCAAAACGGAATGAGAATCGGAAACTTTCGAGATTAGGCCCACGCACCCCGCAAAAAAATAATAAACTTCCGTGTGATGAAGTGCCACCGCAAAAGATGGTCGCAAGATACGCACAGGTAGGATGGTTGTTCCAACAAAAGTCATCGATTTTTAACCTAATAAAAGTAAATTGAATTTTTATGGGCTGCTTGTAGGTATGATTTTTTAAATACCTATTAGAGCTGCTTGTTTGGCCACTGGGGGCGCGCGTTTTTAAAACAATTGGAACGTTTGTCCCTTCGTTCGTACCAAACGCCTCTGAACTTTTAAGTTTAAGGTCTACCAAATTTGCAACAAAGCCCGTTAGGTACTCGGTCTGAGCACCACGGCCCCATGATGAGAGAAGTTAACTGATAGCCCACTCGGCAAGTGGTCTTGTTAAAGTCAGACGCACAAAAGAGACAAAACGCAAGCGTCATCAGTAGCTCGTTCCGTAAAGTGAGATGAAGGCCGGTGGTTCGCATCTATTGAGGTATCTCCTACTCACGCTGATGACAGATAGAATTACAATACGTCCACATAAGCACGCACAACCAACAACCATTAGGCTCGAGACGACAAAACTTGTCCTGGACGTATGTTTTCTCCTGGTTTCTCGTTGGAAGTATCAAACAAACGTGTTGGCGTAGCGTTTTATGTCTAGAACCGCCATTCGGGATCATTGAACATTGCCCATAGTGTTCGCGGGACCTTATAAATCATTGAGTAGTGTTTTACCTTTGGGTTTCTTAAAACCTCAGACTTTCGTTTACTACCTCACAGTTCATGGCGTATAGAGTTACCCTACTGAGGAACGTCCATCTGCCAGTTATTGTCCATATATCTGCCTTAGAAACGAATATCGGATTGGATGCAACAAATGTCACTAGTAACCGGTTTGACGGCATCCTGAAAGATAGACGCTTCATTTCAAAATTTCTCTTAGGGAGGGATTACAGTTGTAAGCTTTAAGTCCTAGAGAGGCTCCGTATCAAAGCTAGTGTCCTCGGATTTACCCGTTTTACATTACACTTTCAAGTGAACAAGGGCTTCCATATATCTGCCTCAGAAACGACGATCGGATTGGATGCAACAAATGTCACTAGTAACCGGTTTGACGGCATCCTGAAAGATAGACGCTTCATTTCAAAATTTCTCTTAGGGAGGGATTACAGTTGTAAGCTTTAAGTCCTAGAGAGGCTCCGTATCAAAGCTAGTGTCCTCGGATTTACCCGTTTTACATTACACTTTCAAGTGAACAAGGGCTTCGCACATAAGAAAAGTGCCGCATTGACAATGAAACTGCGTTGCGACGCTACCCAGGTGTATAATGAGCTGGAAAGTAAACGATTTCAAGGACAGTGCAGGCTGGAATTTTTTTGAACTACTGAAGTCAGACTGCCTCCCGAGGAGCGATCTGTCTGGTCACGGAACTTTAAAACTGCATTCCGTAGTCAGTATGACTTCCGCACAATGTTTACAAAGTTGAAACACCAGATTTGCGCCAAGGTCACATTTTCACACGTAAATTTCTTTCATGTATCGGGTTGTCATCCTTCAAAAGAAATATTGACATTCTGGTAATAATAATAATAATAATAATAATAATAATAATCGTTCAGCTGTAGCGCCCTTTCAGTGCCTAGCTGCCATGCCACCCGAAGCAAGCACGAGAGCTGGGATACTCTCAGGTTGCCCAAGCCTAGACAGGGGAAGTCGAGTGGTGGAGGTCGGGTTCGAACCACGGACCTTCGGACATTCTGATAGCTGAAAACTTAATCAATTACCAGCAATAAAACGTAAAACGATCTAGCTTCATCGACTGTATAAAAATCAACGATGCTATGGGCTCTCCAGATTGAAAAACTCCTCGTCATTTCGATACAGCCTTGAAAAATGGCTTCATTTATCCGATGTACTCCAATATTACCGCTTAGTTTTGATCTTTATTTCAACATTGTTTGACACACACACACACATAATCCAGACAGAGTCCGGTGGATTTTTTCCACTCCCTCTCTTTCTGTCCAAATAAGAGGCAAAACATTTGACACCGTAATGTATTTCTGCCGAGAGTAAGCGCCAAATCACTACAAAGGGAAATGTGTTTCACATGATTAATCATGCAGAAACTATGAAAAGCCCGATAATTTATCATTGTCAATGCACCCCCCTTATTGTCTCATGGCGTCCGTGAATCGGGTAGAGATAAATAATATAGTGTAACGAAGAGACATGACGCAGCGTTTGCCAGAAAAGTTATTCGTCCAAGTTATGACTGAGCTGTTGCGTTGACTTGAACAGACTACCCGTAGTTGTTTTTCGAGAACACGCGTAATTCTGGTTCAGTCAAACGTGAAAAATGACCGTAAAAGTACAAATCGTTCTCGAGAAATAGGCTCATTTGGTTTTCACGAGAGACTCAACTGAATCTCTTGTTTGCGATATTCTGCAACTGAATGTGCTGCACACAGGCCGCCTCACGATTCAGTTGGCATGATATTCGAGATATCGCAGTAGATTTTCATAAAGGAAACCAAATTGATTTGCAAATAAGTGTATTTCTCAAAAGCAGTGCAATTTGGGTTCAAGTATATCATAAGGTCGATGGAAACTCGGGGACTGCACCTACCTGACGAGCCCCAAGAAGAGCGAAACCGGTCATGCGCTGTCGAAGAGTTTTCAGCAACCTTGTGAGTAGTTTCCTTTATACAGATCGTTCTCATAATGATTCACCCACTTGCACCAACCGAATGTAGCGAGCCAGTTTCATCAGCTTTGAATGTGCGAAGCCATCAAAAGGTTGCTTGGTTAATTCGATAAATCTAGCCTGCCATCAGGAAATCCATGGCAGTCGAAGTGGAACCAGAACACGAACAAACAGGAAGAAAGCTCTCCACCGGAATATACGAACATAAGCTCACCACAAAAAGATAATAGATTTTTTCTCATCTTCTTGCGCCACAAGGATCAGGAAAGACACGAGTTCGACTGGAGTGGCGTTCGCGTATTGGCTCAAGTGAGAACGAAGAAAAAACGCGAACTAATGGAAGCGTGATACTCCACCAAAGAAGCTATCAAGTATATTGAAATTGACCGCTAAGAGCAATGGAACGCAAAGACTATTTAGCCCCGAACTGCGCAAGTAACCGGACGAGGAACTTGTGAAAAGAAGCAGGTGGGTCTAATCTAAACGGACACATCATTTGGATAGGAGGAAGCCCCAATTAACAAACCAACGTGCCAAGATAACGGGCAGACGCAAGGACGCCAGTCAATACAATGGAGGAAACAGGGAGGTTCAGCCAGCCATTCGCTCTTGAAAAAAAATCAGACTAAACCAACGTGCCAAGATAACGGGCAGACGTAAGGACGCCAGGCGATACAATGAAGGAAACAGGGAAGTTCAGCCAGCCATTAGCTCTTGAAAAAAAATCAGACCGCAACGCAATGCAAATCAAAAAGTGAGCCAGTCGGGGGAGGAGCTACTAAAGATAGAAGCCATTGAGATGACCAATCGAATCGAAGGAACGCGAAACACAGTGCAACAAAAATAACAAACGGACTAACATATTCACGAAAAACGCTGTCACTCAACTAGCCAATCACGTTAAGAGAAAACAAATACCCTTCAAACACTATATAAACGCACGCAGCCAGCCAGGAGGTACTCACCCAACTGCGCACTGATAATGTCTTCCCGTATAGGGACGAAAAGCTTGCAAGTCAATTGCCAAGCTCGGGGAACAGATCAACAGCCAATCATTTTTGCTGTTCATGTCTGACGTTAAGTAGCGTTTTCTAACACCAAAAGTCGTGAGGGTTCAAAAACTGTTCATTTGATGTGTGATTCTTGTCATTTCAATGGCGGTAACGTATTTTTGGCTAAATCTTCCAGCACGTTTTTCTACCTGCTCAAACTGTGATTGTGCAGGTGATGGACGATGGTTATGTTGACAGTAAGGACGGCTGATATTCTTCGGTCAGGGATGGAAAGAAATATGTTAGGGTAACAGAGTTGCAGGGAAAGGAACGATCCTTATTTTTACCATGTAACGTCTTAGAAAGACCGGATAGTCGGGTAGTTCACGATGATGACTCAGTAGTTCTTGAGATGGATATCGCTTCATTGTACCATAACATCCAACCGTCGAAAGGAAGTCCTGTCTTCACTCTTGCTTAGAAACACGTGTAACGACAAGGACACAAATGAGACTAAAGATGCTGGTCGTTTTGAAACAGTAATGGGAAAGTAAACACGGACAATACATTCAGCGAAGTTATTCGGCACCGGCAAGTGACATCATGAATTTGTCGCTTTACATTCCATCCCAATAATCTTTATATCAGTTCATCCTACTAAACTAAAACAATGTAATCGTTCATCACAACCAGGGGGGTTACGGGGTCGTCGTTTGATGACTCGGGCACACCAATCACATCGCTCAAGTGTGAACAAGTCCGCCTGTTCAGATGTGATAATGCAGATGCGTCCAACGTGCGTTGGCGGATTAGTGGTTACACGCTCGCCTCGCATGTCAGATGTCCGGGGTTCAAACCAGGCACAGCCATTGAATATGCACTGTTGATGAGCTCCAAAAGAGCGGAACTCGAGTCCAGTGCTTCCCTTTGGTGTGGACTCACCGGAATAACTACGCCAGAACAAGAACACGGCCGTTCAAACGAGAGTGGTGTGACTACAAACAAAATACCTACCTACCCAAAACTGCAAACGATTTGAATTCTTTGATTGTTTGAATGTTCCGTCCATCGTCTACCAACAACTACTCCAACCGTTGCGCTGTGAGTACTAAAACCGTCCTACAACAAGTCAGTTTTAATTTTGATGCGGAACTTGCATCCACTTTCCAGTTCAACGCAATTTGGTACATTATGTGCTCTTGTTACCTTGTCTGGATAATCCGTAGGACTGAAGCACAGGTTTCGAGGACTCGAATTCACCGTAGAACTGTTGTGTCTCCAATACCTGCAACTTTCGTCAAATTTAAAGGAGTATCTTTCCAGTGGGAAGTTGGTTTCGAAATTCGCTACTTTTTGAGTCGTGGTATTCGTCTCGAAACCTCGAATCGTTCTGTCTGTCTCGATAAATACGCTGATTGGTTTACGAATTCGTTTTTTTACTGGAGACTCACCTTGAACGCGGCTGAATCCCTCGTTTATCATGCCGAAGAGTTTTCAGCAACCTTGTGAGTAGTATATTGCGTCTAAACGCCGTTCCTGTTTTTCAATCAAGAAAGGTCAATCAAATTCGATCATCCCACAGAAAAGGTAACAATGGGGACAGTGGACCACACTAAAAAGAATGACATGCTTTGTGTGGCTTTAAAGTTCAATCCACCGTACGGAGTATGGAATGTCGATATTTACATATGGGTTTTTTTACTGGAGACTCGCCTTGAACGCGGCTGAATCCCTCGTTTATCATGCCGAAGAGTTTCCAGCAACCTTGTGAGTAGTATATTGCGTTTAAACGCCGTTCCTGTTTTCAATCAAGAAAGGTCAATCAAATTCGATCATCCCACAGAAAAGGTAACAATGGGGACAGTGGACCACACTAAAAAGAATGACATGCTTTGTGTGGCTTTAAAGTTCAATCCACCGTACGGAGTATGGAATGTCGATATTTACATATGGCGAAATTTAGATAAATTTCATTCGTAAAATGAGTAGACGACAAAAAGTGGAAATGCTTTTGTCTGGCAAATGTCAATTTTGGACTGGGTGCGCATTTGAACTAGCGTAACGGTGATACTACTTGCTGAGGGGCATGCGAGCAGTATGTTTTCTCGTAAATCCGCTTCGTATTTCTTGAAAATTGAGATCTATTACGGAACTTGTGGAGTCGCATTTGCTTGCAGTTGAGCAGTAATCAAAGAATATCCAGGAAAGTTCAGGAAGACGCGTTCAAGGAAAAGATGGATATTCAGTTCGTGTAAACAAGGTGCATATGAGCGTTTTGCTTTCCTGTCCAATAGTCTGTGACCAGTCAGTTGGGATTTTCCAATAAATAACTCCGCAGCGAAGGCCTTCCTTTCACTGATGGACAAGCCAACTCCTAACTGAATTACTGTATGTGAAACTCTGGATTCACACTTAGGTATAAATTCAGACTCAGTATGGTATTGCGGCCACTATGCAGAGTTCCAGAAGCCAAGAATTATTGGAAGTGGTCAAAATTTTGTTAGGTAGCAACGGTCGAAGGTGATTTTTCCATGCGGTGCGCGCGTAATTAAATAGGTAGGAAGTCTAACCAGAGTCAGACACTAACCAAAAAGTCCGATGAAATTTGAACGAAACCTTTCGAAACTACTCACTTTCTGCGTAGAGCTCGTCCTGCATGCAGATGTCAATAAGGGTGTTCTCTTCGGAAAGTCCAGCTCGCCTAGAGGTTTTTCGTGACCGCGAAATAGCTCCTCAAATGTTATTGATCTGACTAGTTGCGTAGATTTCTTCCAGTGCTGGTTTCCACTTGATTTAAGCTGTCAAGCAAACTCCATTGAAAGTTTTCCAATGTTAATTGGGTCTAATTTTTGCGTACCCCATTAGCGACCACTCGTTTGCGTCCAGCTTCTTTGTATATGAGGCCTAAAATACCGGCTAATCCGAGTCAGTTCTCGTCAGTACAAGTTCACTGATGGCGCTGTCTGCTTCGTCAAGTATACACCAACGGAGATGAAGAGTACAAAGTGAAGGTCACATAAAAGTAGGGAGCCTCCTCTCAGGAAAATACTCGTCTGTTTGTGAAAGCAGAAAGTACTTTCAGCTCGTTTCTGGGTGGTTTACTTCATAGACACTGTGAAGGATTTCTCTTCGTCAAAAAACGCACCAGTAACAGGGGGCCTCCTCAAATATCCGCACAACGAGGTACTTCGATGATACGGTGCTTGTTGACACCACTTGTAGCCGAAAGGTTCAGTCTTCCAAAACTTGCAGAGTCCGAATCTCCCCGGCGATTCGTGAAATGATTCCCAAAAAAGTTGTTTAGCTCCTCTCGGTTTTTCAGCGGAGACTGACTCCATACACAGGATTAGATCGCGATTGAGTGTTGTGTATTTTCGACCACTTCCTCCTTTCCTCGTCATGTGTTTCCAGCAAGAGTTTCCATTTTTTACCATGTGATACGTGTAGTTCAGCTTGTCCTGTCTCTCAAAACAGGGTGTTATTTCAGAAACGGGTTTTTCAGCTTAGCATTCTAAACAGGAGCCTGCAATTGAGGCAACTGTCTCCCGCTCCCCGTGAAACAGCCGAAGAGGTAGGGGGCTGCATCGTGTACAAGTAATGTTGACATTAGTGCTTCCAATTTGCTTAGTGTCACGTTCACCTCCATTCCTTGGTTGGGCATGTCTTATTCAAATCAATTTGAAAGCGTCGATCGAACGGTCTGGTCATCACGAGATTCGTATGCAAGAACCGTGACCATGTACGCACATTATGCACACACACCGACCGTACATGCACATCTTTGTTGCAAAATCACAGCTGACATTGTATCATCTTGTCAAAGTAAAGTTGCGGTTCGCTTCTACCAGTTCCCGCAATCGAAATGTTTTACATACAAGCCGCCAAACCAAATTAGTTACAGACGGCCGATGGACCATCATCGCACGGTATGATGGTACCATTTCAACTCCGGGAGGAGGGAGCAGTTCTCTAACTGGTCTGTTCGCGCGGCAGCTGTTGCAAGATATCACACACTTATGCGCAT